AAACAATGCGTGTTAATAGCCGTTGGTTAATAACTTGACGTATAGGTAGTAAGTATTTTGTGTTTAGAAATATTAAAGTAATGAATATTGTAGAAATGTTAATATTGGTATTAGTTTTGGTTTAAATTATGAAACCAATTAACAATTATGCCGGTAACCCGTCCATATGTGATTTCCAATTGCATCTGTATTAGTAGGCTAACTGGGACAACAAAAGTATTACCATGGAAAAGAATTCCAACTAGTGTTCCAGTTAGTTTGATACGGTTTATTTAGTTACGGGGAGATTTTCTCAACTTCATTTTTACTTGACCGTGATAGAATTTAGTAATACTACCAATACACATGAATGGTTATCAAAATAAAATTTAAATACGTGAGTGATAATTATATGAATTTTGGACAGATAGCTAGGAACAAATCGCTAAACATGAGTGTGTTCGTAAGAGACATGCTCTGGACTCAATGTTCTGATCTGCAATAGACTATTTATTTATATTTATACTTGCTGGCTGATTGGGCATACAAGTTAGTTGCAAGTATGCAGTTTATCATAAGGCGGAATAAGATTAAATTGAGATATAGTGGTTATAGGTTATTAAAATCAGTTAGGCCTGTGTCATATTACGAAGTGATGTGGTGCCGCAGGATGTATTCGGCTAAATAAGCTTTTACAAGATGATTAACAGTGAGTGATGCTCATGTGATTATCAGGAAGAACACAAGTTGTAACCAAGGGGAGTACACTCCCAACTCACGTCTATGATAATGGCTTGAACCTTAGTCAGTGTTGGGGTAAATTCGACATTGATGTTTTCAGTTTGCAGGAGATTTGCTCGACTGCTTATACTGATTATTTGCATGCATGATTGTGTCGCTAAACCACCAATTAGACTGACAAGGTTTTGAGATATTTACTGAATGAGCAACTGATAGAGAAACATACTGTAATCATCCGTAGTGAATGAAGATAAAAGAAAAACAACACTAGTGATAATTATAAGTCAATTTGCTGACCGATTTTGTTAATAGTCTCATTAATTTTATCAATCATATTACGTGATTGTCATGACAATGCTTTATGACGATATCCTGAAACTATTATGTTTAACTACTTATAGTGTTGATTAAGGATTAGTCAGTGGAAAAATAGGTATTGTTGCTTTAGGTGATTCAAAATCATCAGAAATTTATAACGTTAAAGAATCCGAGACGCCTAATTTAATTATAAATTTCAATTCAGAAATATTCGTTTAGTGTTCATTCTAGCAGGCTACTGAGTTTTGATTTTAAACGTTTGTTTAGCCAACAGCTACTTGGGGATTTAGTTATTTCACTAGTGCAGTTGATAGTACCTAAATTTTTAATCTTATTATCTAAACTATGTTCGCATTTTAGGCTGCTAATATGATAAACTAATCCATAAACCCAAATACGATTAGCAACAACGACTATGATGGGTTTATTGATAAATGTTAAAGGCGATTCAGATGATTTCTAAATTTAGAAGACATGGAGATATAGTGTAACGTATGTATGGGCCAGGTTAACATGCAGGTTGTTGACGTATATGACGATTTAAAAATAATGAACATGACCAGAAAATAGTTTTAAAGTTTAGACTGCTTGTGAAACTTCAGGCAGGAATATGATGCGTTATAAACATTCCATAAGAAGTTACTGCATTTAGCCTAGGGACACTTACAAATATATGGCAAAAGGAACCGGAAAACATATACATGTTAAGTAAAAAAAAATCATCCAGTAAAATAGTTGAACTCGCCTGGATTATTTTTGAAAATTAGATTATTCAGTGGACGACATATATAACGCCATTCGTGAGGAATAGTAATGATCCAAAAGCATCCAGAATAAAACATACAGTATGGCAATCACTTCCAGGGTGCTTGATGCTGTTGAGGTCTTTGGGACTCGCTCTGATCAGAACAACTGAATGAATCCAGATAATTGTGTGTGCCATCTAAAATGAACTTATGATTGCAGAAAACTTATAGCTGGAACTCACCGTATGTTTTTGGAGTAGTCATCCTCGTTGTTTGGCAATGGAACTCGAGAATATGAAATTAGGCAGGCAGTGGTCAGAAGAAAAGATATTACAGGATAGTGCATCGTTTAAAACAGGATGAGGTGTTAAGTGAAGGAACACTGAGAATTAGATCCAGATAACTATTTAGTCCTTGATCGCATTGTTAGTCAATGTATATTTACGCTATTTACAGGTCATATTTGCTAGAGCTTGATGTTTAAACAAGACTATGTCGCTGAAGCATGTAAATGCTATTACAGCTTGTTAACAAATCATCAAAGCTAATTAGTTAATATAGACGACCAGTTTTTATTATCGATTGAGCTAGTTTGTCATGAGGACTAATCAATATAACATTACGATAATGCATGTGAGCATTAATCAGAGGACTATTGGAATACAGGGTTAACATAAATATAAAATCGATCGAGAAAGTTGAAGTGGAAATAAGGATTAATAATATTAGGTTGCGTTTCTTTAGTTGGGCTCACCAATGTATAACTATGGTCTACTATGATATTAGTACTGCTCTAATAATAGACCTAATCCTAAATTTGTAGATTCGTCATGATATCACTGCCTAATCTATAAGATCTTACGTGGAAGTCACACCATCGACTACGCCAACTCACTGTATCGTATCAATTACCAATACATGATGAAGAACAAGGTTAGGTTAGAGAAGGAACAATATATTTAATATGAATAGAGACCACGCCTGCATGGCCGAGCCATGCCACTCGATCAACTCCAGTCCATTCAATTCATTGTTCGCGCCTTCTCCATTTTTAGGTATTTCTCCGCGTTAAATATTGAATATCTATTTTCTGAGTAGTCTCGTGTTCACAGCTTTGTGGATTGTGTGGCTATTGTCCAATGCCACTACAGATATGCCCTGACTAAGTCAATTTTATTGAATATGTCCATACCCTGTAAACCGTTTGTGAAATCTTGGATATGCGATATTGGGTACCTATCTGGTACGGTTTGACGGTTGAGGGCTCTGTAATCTCCGCACGGTCGCCAGTCGCCTTCATTCATCTTTGAGACCATATGCAAAGGGGATGCCCATTGACTATCAGAGAGACGGATAATACCCAGTTGTAGCATATAATAAAACTCGGCCCTGGCGATTTTGAGCTTATCTGGTGCTAGTCTCCTGGGTTTTGCAAACACCGGTGCATCTTCGGTTTTGATAGTATGACGTACTTTTAGTTTGTCTTTGGAAGGCTGTGGGTTTGGTCTAGTTAAGTTGGGAAATTCCGCGAGTATATCTTGGAATTTCGCTGTAGTTACTGGAGGAGTTTGAATCAAGTTAAGAGATATGATATGACTTTCTTTGCCTTTTGTGTAATTCGAAGTTTCTTTCAGTGTTAAGCGCCGTTTCTTAGTGTCAACTAGAAATTCGTATCTCTCTAGAAAGTCCATCCCTAGTATTGCCAGATCAAGTTGTCGGCTCCTGAACCCCAAGTCTAGGGTTAAAGTTTTCTGCCAAAATGTCGCGATTTAAGTTTTATTTGCAGCTTGGAGTGTAATTGGGGATGTTTCTCGTCTCAGCTTAGTTTTATTTTGAGGGATGATACTAAGAGCAGCGCCAGTATCCACGAAGAAATCCAAGCCAGAGTTTCTGCCCCTCCTCAGTCGTCGCGACCTGGGGGGGCTTACTCGTTTCCCGCTGTTTTGGAATTTTGTTTAGGCCAGGCGCATGGTTGCATGCACTTGGTTGAGTTGACACCAAACTTCCAGTGGTACCAAAAAAACTGCCCAGATTGTCTGGAAATTTGTGACCTGTTTTGTGACTTGGATTGTGGTCGTTGTGGTAACCTGCTCCTATTTCTATGACCCATTTGCATTCTGACAACAGCCTCAGTGAGACTCTTAACACCCGCGATGAGTCCTTCTATGACCGGGTCTTTTGCTGATTCTACTTTTTGTGTGTGATTTATTGTGCCTGATCCAGTTGGAGGACCTCTTTCCATTATTCTATCGGCTATACGCGCTAAATGAGATAATGAGGTTTCAGGATCTTGTGCATCCAAACAGTGTTGGACGTTGCATGGGAGAGCTTGTATCCATCCTTGTTTTAGGACTGCTTCATTCACTGTGTTATCACCCACTAAGACTTGGAGGTGACGTAAAAACTGTGACGGCCACCTATAAGATTCACATATCTTAGTGCCGCCCATGGTTTGTTTCTCCTCAGTGTACTTCTTCTTTCCCACTGTAACTATACCTGCATCTGTGTTTGCTATCCGCTACACTGTTGGGGTCTACCTTGATTGTTCTGTTCAAAGCCAAAGCTGGACTCATGATAAAGCTCGCTACCTTCACGAAAACTGAAGGCTGATCATCTGCTACTGGCTGTTTATCTGAAGGCAACTTTCTAGCTATTAGCTGGATAGCCGCAAGAATCAGCAAACGTGATGGTAGCTTGCAGCACCTTTCATACGCAGCCGATATGAGTCCGGTGCAGACGTTGTGATACCACTTAGTGCAGTTGTCACATTGCATTCTATCCTCGACCAAAAAAGACATGCAAATCTACCGAAACGATGTTTCGCTTGCGCCATTTAAATTGTTAGGTAGTCTTACAGAGAGAAAAACAAAAAACTGATTTCTAGAATAAGCATTTATTTAAGGCTCCAATGGTGATAGACACTGAACAAAAAAGGCTGAGATTTATATGTTGCTGTAACTGAAAATATCCGCCTTTATGAAATATAAAAAAGCTTTTCCACTCTCGGATACAAACAATGCTAAAACATTTACTCAACGCGGAAAAATACCACCGCCATTTTTGTTTCGCGCGTATAGAGATCGAAACCTTATGTTAACCTCTCAGTGAATTGTATCATAAATCTCACAAAATTTATTCCGCTGGCTTGAAAGCAATTAAAATAAACACCTTGGCTCTTGTATCTATAAGTTTGATCAACTAGGAACGTTTGTACCTAGTGTCGTTATACGCGCCACTCATGAACTAGCGGTTTGGCGGACTCGGTCAAGTTATGCAGGACCCTACGTTGCAGTTTTTGCGTACTTTAGTTACTCATGGAGAAAACAAGTACTGTTTTGATTGTCATCAAAGAGGCCCGACGTACATAAACATCACAATTGGTTCCTTTGTTTGTACAACATGCAGTGGTGCTCTGTAAGCACAAACCTTATAATATTGTAATGTTTAGGAGAAAATATAACCACAGAGTGAAATCAATTTCAATGTCAAATTTCTCCCAATCAGAGATTGACTTCCTTTGCACTCGTGGAAACAAGGTACAGTGGTTTTCTACGGATAATTTCAAATAGGCATGCCGAAAAATATATTTGGCTCTTAGCGAAGACCAAACCATGACTGAGAAAGACTTGAAAGATGGAGCTTTAGATAATTATTTAAGACAGAAGTACCAGCTACAAAAATGGTGAGTGTATTGCTTTGGTTCTTCCTTTCAAAAAGAGAGTAGCCGAGCTGCGAAAACTATGAAAGTTTGCATAAAAAAGCTAAGGTTTTTGGTGGAAGATGGCATTATTGTATTCTTCAAAGTAACACGCACAGCAAGGATAAACACTGTTCATGGCACTACCCAATGTTTACGGTACCTCCTTCGACATTGTCTTTGTTGCCCTTCATCGTTCACTTAGTGCTTTGCGTTCAACACTACCAGTAGTGCCATCAATATTTCCATCCTTAGTAGCCATTTTGAACAAGGTTTGAAGTCAGTATGTGTTCGTGTAGTTACCACGCTAACTTCAACCAGAACCTTATGGATTACCTAGAGCTGGTTGAATCCGCCACCAATATTTTACGTTCCTGAGTCCTGCCCGTAAATATCGGCTGATTTATCAGTCAAAACTTAAGGGTGAATAGATATGGACCCGTCCAAATTCTCATCAGAGTAAAGATAGGATAATGACAAACAACTGGACATCAAAAATATGGTTCGGAGAGATGAGATAGCACCTTAATTAATGTAAAATAGCATCAGGCTAAATATTTAAATCAGTGCATGACAATTATATCCGGACTTAGACACAGTTTGAACCAATAATCACCGGTTTCGTCGCTTGTCGTGTAGGTCTGACTAACTCTAGATTTAAAACCTACCTGTGTATTAATTAGCAAATGACAAGATAAGTGATGGTTTTGCTTATGTGACACCCTTCGGTTGTCTCCGTTTTTGGTGATTTAAATCTTTAGGAACTAAACCATGGTTTCTATCAGTCGGTCACTCATACACAACGAGATATAAATGTTTATATGTGATAATTTATTATTAACCTCAGTACTGCTCACTGCAAGGTCTCACCATGATTAAGCTATACTTCAAGGACATTTGTGATTGGACGCTACTAGGTTATTCCTGTTTTGTCCATTCGTAGGCTGTTTTATAACCATGAAACAACATAGAATGAACTTTCGCGTATTATAATCACAGATCAGTGTAGGAATCACGAAGTAATCTTTGGATCTATTCTATCACATATTTTGCATACCTAGTTTTGTACGTATACTATGCTTCTCTAATACTCAAATTGATTAGATACGTTTCCTATTAAATTCCGACACGTCAAATCGTTACATTAACGTCATATTTATTTTGCAAAAGAATAATACTACACCTTTGAAATATTAGTGAGTAAAACTGTGACTCAAATTGTGCGAGTGTTACCTTTCTGGTTATCATAATTGCATGCATTTTGCTGACGAGACAGCTCGATGTCATTCAGCGTGTCAGTTTTCTTGGAAATATCCGTAGAGTTTGTACTAGTTTTCCAGGTAAAAATAAATTTTTTTGATGGTCGAGTTATATTTGACTGTTTTGTTCTTAGCTGTTCTAATAACTCAGTGATAACGCCAGTTTGTTGAACGTCGGCTTAGTGGATAGACCATTCGAATTTCGACCATTAAGTCCTGGGTTCGGGCCCCACCCTCTGCTTCAGTTTCGGCGACTGAATAGTACTATTAGTCTACACTTGGGGCATCGTTCATAGATGAGTACTTGGCGAATGAGCGTAGTGTTCGGTTCGATGTGGTATGATTCAGTCCTTAAGGCGCTCATGTTCTTTGCTTACGAATAATTTAATTATAATTTTTACATTATATTTGTTGCTGAAAGCTGTAAAGCTTGCTTTAAAAACTAAACGATCAGACGGCGAAGGAATATATTATTCCGAAAACGAGTCTAGGGATAGATAAATGCTTGTATTATACTTGGGATCCTATCTTCAGAAAACAAATATCAACTGCCAAACTTTTCCCCTAGAATTGCATGTCTTTGATCAGTATCAGCTCTGAAAAATAGATATTTTGGCCTAACAAAAAGTTGCTGATGTTCATAAATCACATAAATTTAAACTGTTGTGTGAATTCATAAATTAATCAGGTCAGATACGTCGTTTACTTAACGGAGCTGGTGGGCTTTCCATCGCATCTGTCCATGAACTCATTGAGCTATGTCAATAAATGTAGACTAGCTGGGGTCCAGGTGATTATCCTAACTATTGGTTAGAGACTTTGAGTGACATGGCTCAGAATCGTTTGCGGTGGCGCAAGTGAATTCATTCTATATCTTCTCCCAAATCATCAACTGAATTGCTCGCATTATTTTCTGTTTTTACTTCACTAATTTATGTTTTCTTAAATCGTATCTTCGACCCCTCATCTTTCCTATTACCACTAATACTGTAGGATTTAGCCTGACGATGACCTATTGTTGTGCTAATTTATTTATTTGAACACAAATATTGGTTGTTAGCGGGACATAGACTAGATTAAAGCATGCTCAATGCATGATTGCTTTGGTGCACGCTGATTGGCTGATTCTTATCCAATCAGCACTAGTCGATAGTTGGAGAATACTCTGGAATCTTCTTATGTAAAAACTATAAATATACTGACGTTTGTCCCTATTGGCTTCTGACGTGCTTCTTACTTCCATCTAACCTTGTTATTTGGAATATAATCTCTGCCTGTTCAACCGTGTTTTGATTTGGGGACTTGTCGAGTGAATCGGTGTCCGAGAATACTAAGTAATAGGAATAGCTGGGTCATTAACCGTAGTAAGAAAAGAGAGATATAACAGTGGCGACGGGGAAAAACTAAAGAAAAATGGCGATTTCTTTAGAACAGTTGGGGTTAATATTACAGCACCAGCAGAAGTTGTTAGCCTTGCAACAACAACTATTGAGCACACTTTTCACTCGACCAGAAAATAAGAAATCTGTTTATGATGCAGTAACAGACATTTCAGAAGCATATCTAGTGGAGGGTTCAAATCCCTTTATACCTGGATCAGGACGTAATATTTGTAACGTGTCCGGCTCACAGCAAGAAAATACTGTGCTGAATGCTCATAAAGTTGTGGCAATACGAAGTGATCAAGAGCCAGACCCTGTAGATGAAGCCCGGAGTCCAGAATTGAATGAAACACTACTGGTCCTGTCTAGCTCTGAAAATAAACTTCAGCTAGAACAAATTTATGGTCCACGTGATATTAGCCAAGAAAGCTATGGGGACTCGTATTCAGAAAATAACTGCAGTGACACAACGAACCCAATTATACCGAATGTTACTCAAAATCATTGTGAGACAGAAACTTATATTGAATCAGCTTATCCGATTTCTAATGACAATGTATCAGACATGGGTTCTCAGAACAATGCATGTTATTTTGATGAAATTTCTCATAAAAATCAGGAAAATATATCAGCTGAGTCAAATTATGGTCAAAAGTCTAATTTAATTTTGTTAGATGATGATTTCCGTAATGATCCATTATCCACTGATGAAATTCCTAATGGATTTGAAAGTAATGCTTCAGAAGAATTAAACTTTGACCTCAAATCAAAGGTCGTTCATTATCATCTAGTCGTTTCTAGTGGATTCGACATTCAATGCGAGAAACGTCGTTTAAATAAAGTCCTATTATTTGTAACTTGGAGATATAAGGATCCGACATTGTTTCGCGGAGGAGGAGAATGTTGGAGAATTAAAAGTTATGCATACTTTTTTTTAAGAAAAATCAAAACGCCGGGAACAGACATGTCAGTCTCTGTGCAAGGAAAAAGTGATAATTCTTCATTGCCTAGACGATGGACTAATCGAAAGCACAAGCCAGTCACTCAGTTGCAGTTGGACCCTAGCACCAGATCCTACGAATCTGCTCAGAAGGGAGGTGTTAGCGGGACGTAGACTAGATTAAAGCATGCTCAATGCATGATTGTTTTGGTGCACGCTGATTGGCTGATTCTTATCCAATCAGCACTAGTCGATAGTCGGAGAATACTCTGGAATCTTCTTATGTAAAAACTATAAATATACCGACGTTTTCCCCTATTGTGCTTCCTACTGGCTTCTGACTTGCTATTTGGAATATAATCTTTTTCCTATTCAACCGTGTTCTGATTTGGGGACTTGTCGAGTGAATCGGTGTCCGAGAATACTAAGCAATAGGAATAGCTGGGTCATTAACCGTAGTAAGAAAAGAGAGATATAACATTGGTACAAAGGGGTACTGAATACATATGCACCACACAAGTCACTTGATTTGTGTGTGAGCTTTGATACTGCCCGGGTGCTAATGGAGTATGGCAACTTAAACCGATGCACTTACATATCAGGTTCTATTTTGCGACTGACTTACTTAACGCTACACTTGACTACAATTTTTCCTACCCACGGATAATAATACATTTCGACAAAAGTCCAAAAGCATCGACAGTCGAATTAAAAACACGTATCTTTCGCATTCAGTGTTCACTTTCTAACTGTACAAACTGTTTTAAGGGTTAGTTTCTTTCCATTTGACTCCAACATGTGATGTCCCGTTAATTGAGTATTTTAGCAGGCCAATTCTCTTAATAGTACTATGAATTTACCTAAGAATGTTCCAAAGCTAAAACACCAGTTCATGAGTCTATTGTTGATTATTAATTAAATCCACAAGCAAGCACATCAGAGAATGGGTGTGCAAATAAAAAGTCGAAATATCTATATTTATTATATGAGTCTTAATCAGTTGTAAGTTTCTGATTGTCTGCGTTTTCAACCAGTGGGAGGATAGATGAATATTGAGGTGCAGACATACGTTTAATCGGACTCATACATACTTTTACATAGTGGGTTAAATATATAAATTACAGCAGATAAGTAATAGAAGATTCAGTGGGTTGAATATAATGTAACGACTTTCAACAACTATCGGTTTCGATTGCTTGAAAAAATTTTGCAGATGCTGCTCCCATTCCGCACGTTACTTCTCGACGTTGAAACTGGGTGACAAAAGCCAAGAAGTGGTCAGTTTCAGGTTACAGAGTTTGAGCTAATTAAGTCAGATTTCTAATTTAACGTTTAGTGCGATATTTAAATTATTTGATTTCACGTTTATAGCTTAAAAAACAAGAGAATTGCTTTTACGAACTTGAAATTCCTGACGCTAACCACGAAAAAGGAAATTGTCAGTGATTAGGAGTGAATTATGCCAAAAACGTATTAAAAGACACCGCAGCTGAGATTAATTTCAAGTTTTAACGATTTAATTAGTATGCCTTCACATAACTACATGACGCTCATCGATTCCCCACATACTGAGAGTTTATTTGTACTTCGAGTGCCTGGAAATAAACTAATTGAAGTGTATCAACTGAAACTGCTCAATAAGCTGTTTATACTTTGATCTATCTTGCTGATTTAGCTGAGTTCATGGTAACTTTTTAAGATATATTATAGGATTGTATTTGCACTTCAAAGTTCACCGATAATGAAAATGCACGGGAAAAGTATATGTTACTTCGGATTCAATATTTTTGACTCCTAAAAATAAGAAGTCATCGATGTCCAGTATGGTAATTATTTCATGGAAAGAACTTTACTTCTAACCTACTGGTATTAGTACAGTAGCTTAGTAACTAAAATACACACTTTCGAGCCACTACAGTTTAAAGAGCTGGCTAGTATTATTAGGCGTAATATGTAGAAACATTTGGAAACTTTTTATCCACTAATGTATACTGGGTCTCTTAAGCTTTTATGATCAGTAACTGGTCATAGGCAAGTAGAGTATCACACTGAGTATGGCATACTACTCGAACAATACTTTTTCTACCACATAGTCGGTGTTTTATTGGTAAGGAACGCATGATTATTGATTAAATCAGTATGATAATCGCCTATTATAACATTTGATTGTATTCTGATAATTTCAGCTATTGATTATTTCAATATGGTATTCAAGTGTATTCCGACAGTTTCTGCTATATATTCATTCAATATGATATTCATTTAAGTCCTAATTATTGACAATCGTTACAAAGTGAATTTGTATATAAAGGGCTGGCATTTTTACCTCCTGGATGGCGGCCTATGCCCCATGAGAGTTAACAGGTTTAAGTAAGTATTTTCCTCTACTGTATATTCTTTGCAGTGCACGCTTTGTCTTCTTAATAGTTGCCACCTGCGTCAAGAGTTTTGAGTTGTAATTGGATTGCGATCGCTTTTGCGTGCACCAATTACGTTATGTATCGCTAACTATTGCGTTGATATACCCCGGCCGCGTAGCAGGAATCGGTCAGTCATAGTCGACATAGGTCCTTGGACACATGTGCTCCCACCGGTTCAAGTTGCCATGTCCCATTAGTACAGTGCGATAAAACATAGTGTCATTCAGCCTTCTCTGTTATTCGAATTTCCTACGTACTGCTATATTGTTACACTTCTCCATGAATCAATATTTGGTTTGTAAATGTTGTAGTCCAACTAAGTTTTATTGTTGATATCTCGGTTTCTTTTACAAATGTTTATCAATTCTAAACAGATTATTGCCCACAGTGCATCTATGGATCAGTAATTTAATGATCTTATTCCTTTTAGGTATCGCGAACCAACGTCACAGATAGAATCTGAAGCTTTGAAAGAAAATCGAGAACTTCTTGAGCAGTCAGAGAAAAACATGAATCAGAAAGGCCAACGTAATACATGTGGTAATGCAGCTGCTGGACTTATTGTTCTGCCTACTCGTTCAAGTACTAATCTTCCTTCCCAAAGCAATCTAACCAGCGGGACAACACAAGTTAGTAATGTCAATGGAGACAGCTTGGTTAGTTTTAATATGTAACCGATTATACCGCTTTATATATTCCTAACTGCCTTCATAATGAGTAGCGAATATATTTATAGGTGTGCAGTTTGACGGATTTTTAATATTTAATTGTGATCAATATGTAACCGTGTAACTGGTTAGCGAAGTTATAAACTTGATTACCAATGGTCTTTGTGAAGCCATCTGTTCTGATGTCAAGATAATCTTAACGTAACTGGGTGCTAAACAGGGTTATTCAGCCTCATCTTTTCTCCTCAACTCTTTCATTGATGACATTTCGGAAACAGCTATAATAGAACTGGGTAATGATGTGAATCTGTTATGTAGAGAAAAACTTCTCACTTTTAATTTGAGGATATTCGGTGACGTCTCTATGTTGAATCATCGTTGTTTCTGAAGGATTGTTAACACCTAGTAGGAATACCATGTATCAATACAAAGCAAATATTCAACTCAGTAATTTATTATATTGTTAGTTAGTTCAGTTAAGTTAATTGGCGTTGCGAATTCCATACATACACTAAATTATTAATTTGCATCAACTACTGCTTAGTTCGATATATTTGAATAAACCTATTGACTAGGTAAGTAAATAATTCATAATTCAGTATACCTTCGATACAGTTTTTGAATTAGTGGTTGGTCAGCCGGGGATTTGTGGTTGCTGTATAATAAACTCTTTGTCTACAATTTTATCTTCTTTCTTACGTCGAGTAGTATCAGCCCTTGTTCAGGGGGCAAGTAAACAATTGCATCCGCAGTTATAACAAGTAAACAAGTGGTTTATTACGGGGAGCAAGTTCAGTTGGAAATGCGATCAGGAAAGGTAATAATAAATAAACATTTTTTGTTATATCCTAATGAGTAGAAACTTATATTTCTGACGTTTCGTGACTTAATGCAAGCCACTTCAGAGTAAATAAATAACAGAAATAAATTAATGCAAGTTTAGACGATACAAAGGAAACAGTTGTTTCACAGATTTCTGCAATCCATCGAAGATAACAATGATCGAACAAGAAAGTCACCGAATATTCTCAGTAATCTAAAACTGAAGTGTTCTCATTCTAAACTCAAGAATGGTTTACGATGTGTTTTATTTATACTGTTTGTGCCATTGTGTTCTTTTTCAGACTGTTTTTCTCTCGATTTATGAAATCTTATGATTAATTTTAGATACCACAACAATCTGTCACGAATCATTTCACCTTTAGTCAAAAACAGGATGCATTTAACAAAGCGACCGCTGATCCATTCGCTTCTTTTTCCACTTCAACTTCTTCCTCTTCAAATACTATTGCTGTTACCACCACTACCACAACAACAACAACTACTACTACGAAGTCTGATCTCTTCGCGAATTTCTGTCCTGATGTCCTTACTTCTATAAATAATTCAACAGTTAAATCATTCCCTTCTAACATAAATCCTACTATATCGAATATTTTCTCAAGTTCATCGATAAATACAATGTCTAGTTTCCCTGGTCCAAGTGGTGGAGATAAGTATGCCGCACTTGCAGAATTGGATGGTTTATTTAAAAATACCGGACTTAAATCAATGAATCCAGAAATAATGGAAAAAGGTACAAATGATATTACATTACCTAAAACCAATGTGTCTAGTGTATCAGCCAGTCAATGGGTCACCCCATTCTCACCTCATATTTCTTATTCCAATAATCCTGTTGTCGAAACAACACATGGATGGTCTGCGAATACATCTTTCAAGGATGGTTTACAATCACTCAATCCCTTTGCCAATCCAACAATTGGAGTTCTGAATCCTCCAGCTTTTAACAGATTCACTAATCCATTCACAAGTTATCCCATTATGACAGTACCTTCAAGTATCAATCAGTTTCCTGAAACTTTGAGTCTATCTAATCCAGAAAGTAAAAACCCATTCCTCTCAAATGCCCAGCAGTCATTTAATGCAAATCCATTTTCTAACTTGGCGAACTCTACATCTGCCCATTATCATTCACAAGTAACTGCTAGTTCTTTTTCACCCACCATGCACCCAGCTAATAATTTTCCTACAAAAATGAATAATCCCGTGGTAAGTGATTCATATTACGAATATGTCATATTTCATCTAGGCATTTTTGTGTTTAACACGTTAAATCCGTTTTTAGTGCTATTTGTGTACATCATACTAATATACTATTTATTTATTTTAACACATAGATATTGGTACAAAGATGCACCAAATACATATGCACCACACAAACCTCATTTGATATGTGTGAGGGCTGTGATACTGCCTGGGTGCCCAAACAGAAGCAGGTAGTTTTCTTAGGGGGCCACACTCGGAGCCTTCGATATGAAGGTCTGATCCACAAGGCAGTGGAGCGTCGTAAGGAGATGCAGTCCCATGGAAGCCGGTGACCGAAAATTGGTTCATACGCCATTTGTTCCTTCACGATCCTGGAGCCCATGTGCACTATTGGTTTGGAATCAGGGTTTTCCAACTCCCCTAGGTTGACCCTCCGTACGGAACACCAACTTAGTTAAAGCGCCAGACATTCACTTTTCGTTCTCTTAATTTTGTAAACAACACCCCTGGTGCGAGGTGGTGAGTAGGACTTCCCTGGCAGAGGCTATATACGCGTGGCCATGTGAAAACATTTGGAGAGGGAGAGCGGACTCTCCCCACTCTCGGCCGTACCAGGGCATTTGGGGGCTATACTATCATGTTAGCGGGACATAGACTAGATTAAAGCATGCTCAATGCATGATTGCTTTGGTGCACGCTGTTTGGCTGATTCTTATCCAATCAGCACTAGTCGATAGTTGGAGAATACTCTGGAATCTTCTTATGTAAAAACTATAAATATACTGACGTTTGTCCCTATTGGCTTCTGACGTGCTTCTTACTTCCATCTAACCTTGTTATTTGGAATATAATCTCTTCCTGTTCAACCGTGTTTTGATTTGGGGACTTGTCGAGTGAATCGGTGTCCGAGAATACTAAGCAATAGGAATAGCTGGGTCATTACCGTAAGAGAGAGAGTTATAACATATCACGTCCAAACAATTCATACTATTTACTATTCCTATTTACTGCTCAAGTCATTTGCGTACTAGCCACATGGTTTCAAGTTCAAACAAATGTATTAAATGATTCAGAGAAATTTTGCCTAAGTAGTATATGGTAATATATTCATAATAACTGGTCATCAGATATCAGTTAACATCATATTTAAATCCTTAGTTGCTAATGTAATCGAAGCTTGTCCTCTAGCACTGATTAGTTGAAAATGGATCAGTCATCGTATTTTAGTTTGACCCTGTCCAGATCGTGGAATATTTACAACTCCCTATAGTACTAACAATGTGATTAACGTGTAATGAAATATTTACTATTCAGCGTAAAATTAATAATAGTTTTTTGTAAGTTACATCAAATTGATATTTCCTTTATGATTATCTGTTTTATATATATTCTGTGTTGTTGTATTTTGGGAACTTGAACTGATGCATATTTGTGCCAGGCTCTCTATTTTCATTATGATTCGCTGTAGATGGAAGACCAGTGATAAAATCGATAAACCAAACTGTTAACAATAGTAGTTGCTTACCCTTAATAAATTTGGCCTAGATGTAAATTTAGGAAGATAGAGTATACGACGAAGGTGAATGATATTGCTTCTGAAAATGTGTAAGCAGCTAACATTTTCTGATTCACTCTATTCTAAAATGAATTTTTTTTCCCAAAAACACTGGATTATTGTTGACGATCTTACTGATCACAGCTTCTGCATGGCATCGATTTTCGTAAGTGATCACTTTCGCATGTATTTTTACTTTGTACTTCTTTCCCGACTCACAAATATCTCCTGTTCAATAGTAGTAAACAACATTCTGTGTGAAAGTTGTATGTAATAATTAAAACATTTTGAGAAAGATTTTCACACTAATAATAAATGTCTATCAGTTAAAGTTGTGCTACTGAAAATCGCTCTTTGTTTTAAATGAGTAGATAATACGAAAAGAAATTCTAAGTATTTTGAGTTGTAATCTCATACCTTTTGTTATGATATAAATAAAAGATAAGCATTTCCAAATGGGAGGATTGTTTAGAAAAATTATTTCTTGTTCGTTCTGTAATTTGCTGTGTTGTATAATAAACTTGTTCAACACTTCTATTACGATTAAACATTTACTATGTCCAGAATTCTGAATTCCTGTTTCCTTTTTTTTCTCTCATTTTTTTTTGGTTTACAGAATGGAGTAGTTGGACAACTTGGTCATACTAGTGATTCTACTACTCGTTATCAATTGTCCAATTTCAATCCTTTCTGAATAGATAGAAAGAGAAAAATATTACAATGATACCATACTTTCTTTATTGAATAATTTTGATTTCATTGTCGGTGATAGATGCTATTCTCCTTTTTTAAAAAAAATACTTAATTTAAGACCCATTATGACATTCGAATAGTGTGTGTGTGTGTTTGTAGGGGAGAAGGAGTGAAGTAGTTTTCAGTGATACAGCATTTTATTTTCTGTTTTCCTCTCATTGTATTTTTCCTCTTTAGTAGTAGTAGTAGTAGTAGTGTTCTTTAGAAATTTATCAATTTCACTTATTATTGTTATCTCATTGTCATCAACATCGTCATAATCATTAGCGGTTTCCGTTCATTATACACGTGTGTTCCTTCTTTCCCCGTTAATTTCATCGATAATAATAATAATAATAATAATAATAATAAATCTCTGAATATAATACGTCCAAATCAGTTATTTTAATCAGCATCAGTCAACTCATATTTCACTCTTTCAATACAGTTGGAGTATGTGAACCACTTCAACAATGTATGTGTGTGTGTGTTGAATTTTGTAAAACTATAATTGCTTTTCTTTACAAGAAAGAAAAATCTCATTTCCTTTTTAGATCAATCTATATGACAATCATTGAGTAACATTCCGAGAGAATTATTACATAATATTCTTGTTGTATTTTTTCAATGTTGAAAAAGATCCAATTTATAATTTATGACTATTTCAGTAATTCTCTCTATCTCTGTCGATCTGTGTATGTATGTATGTATGTATGAATCTTGAAATGACCTATCTCTATAATGCTGAGCTAATTACCTCTTTCTCTCTTTTAATCTATTCAATCTATTTACAAATTGACTTGATAACACTATTGCTTTGACTCCTTTTCAAAATTTACAAACTCCTAGGCGTATATTGTAATTCTTAACTGGATTATTATCCTTTTGTTTTTATTTTAATGATTAGTTTCTATTTACTTTTTTTTCTTTTTTTTAATGAGAGATATTTTTCTTGAGTTTATTTTCCCGTCCACTTTCCCAATGATATAAACATTCAATTTAGTCATTTGTTATAACAACTAATCTTTTGTTTGTTTGTTAGACAATTCTGATTAACAAAATCACATAACTACAAATACGAAACTATTTGAATTGGATCTCTGTTGTAAATGAGAAAAAGCATACTATACATCTCATTCATTGGTGTGTGTGTGTGTTTGTGTTTATAGCTCGTGTAATAAAAGTGAGATAAATACATTTCTTTTTGTGAATGTCACTACTTAGTGTTTCCCAATACAGATCATTACAGTGTGTACGGTACGCTATATGTTCTAGTCTAGCGTATTTCTCTCATAATGATGATGATGATGATAATGTATGTGTGTCTGTGTATGCTGTTTAATATTCATTTTGGATGTTTTTACTTTCATGATCAGTTTTCTAGGTGTCTAATGTGTAGGTATGCTTTACCTTGCAATCTGATTCTTATCATTATTGGTTAATGTAATTAATTCACTTGACTATTGTTAAATTATTCACCTTTTTTTCTCTGGTAAAAAAGCGTTAATTTTTTATGTATGCTAATTAGACCCCGTCATTATTGTATTATATATGTGGAGCATGTCAGTGCGTATTCATCTGCCGTCAACATTTAACTCATTCCTCTCTCTCCATATATACATATATTCACTACATCACACTACAGATTCTCCGATCATTATTATTATCATTACTATTCACATTGTTAGCAGTATTATCATAACAACTTATCGATAATAAAATTGAATCGAATAAATTGTGTCCAAATCGTAGTCTCAATTGAAAACAGAAATATATTTTAGTTTTTATGTCTGATCGTTTGTGTGTATAGGTTCGTTTCTAATCATATATATATATGCTATGTGTACGCGCGCTAACTTTTCGCATTCCTTATGGTCGAATTCCTGTGTTGTTTTTTTAATATCTTAAATTTACTTTTTATTTCCGATTTCATTAGACTGGTTAATGATAAAAATAACCATAGCCATATGTAACACATTATTATCATCGTGTTCTTACATCTTTGTTCCTTATTTCTCTGACTATTCTAAGGAGGTGGGACGACTGAATTAATCAATATTGTCTTATAATTGAAGTGCTAACTAAGGGAATTGTATTGTCATTACTATAAGCATACTATGCAGTAGTTACCGTTTAAGTGTAACATTCATACAATGTGTTAAGTGATTCATCTTATTTCATTTTTTAAAAGTAAAGTATAGAATTCACCTGTTTAATTTTCCTTTATTGTTAATCAAAGTGCATTACAATTCTAATCAGTCATAACATAGATACTGGCACGAATATGGATGTAAATGAAATCTGTTCATTGAAACACAAATTTCAAAGATTGTTTCAGTAGAGTTCTCTCTTTGGCAAATTCATTTTTCAAAGCTTCATATCAAAAATATATACTCGTTTTTTTTTCAGAATGATAATGAATATAACTGTTAATAAGAATGATGGTTATGGTAATAACTTAGCTAAACATGATAATGGAGAGATGGAATAAGCAGAAGTACTGATATGTTATTCTTACTGAGAAACTGAAAATGTGGTTGTTGAGACCTTGTAAATTCATCGAGAAAATAGATAAAGATAAATAATTGTGAAGAAGGGTTGCTTAGCGTGATAAAACAAAATAATAAGTTTGAAATAAGTATGATCATAGAATATGTGGAGGCAGAAATAAGTCACTACGGAGTAAAAAGCCAATAGAAAGGAGATATGAGGAGGAGGTTGGCCTTGGGAAACGAGAAATTAAATCCATAGTTGGAGAAGAGATTGAATAAGTTGCTTTTATGTATAGTTCTGATTTTTATAAATGTGCAACATGTACGTCTGTAATGGTAAACAGGTGGGGGATCTCATTGTCTCCTGCTGTACGAATTCGAAGGATTGTCAGTACTGATGTTCAGGAGAGGTTTAGGTGGTAAGCTGTTTGATCTTACCACGTGTGTGCTTAATTACCAGTTTACATGCTCTTATGAATCTAATTATGCATGTAGTTCAATGCTCATTCTATCTATGAGCATTTCATAGCTTGGCCACATAAAGGAGGAGATGTGTCTGTAAACGTCTCAATAATCGATTAGCATGTGAACACGGTTTGTTCGATCATGACAAACGCAGCGTTCAAAATCGTCTACAAGGTATATAAAAATTCGCCAAAGACTGAGCTTTCGTCCTCTTTGCATTGCAGAAACATTTGCCATACATCTAGAAACCTAGAACTATATATACTATAAAGATCTGTCCAACCACTTATTCTACCTTGATCATAATCTCTTGTTTTCCAAAATCATTACCTTCCCTCATCACTTCTGCTGATAAATATGTTTCGGTTTAGATTGCTATGCTTCACGTTAGCATAGTGGATATTATCAAGATAAATAATTCTAGTGTTAATAATAGTAAAAAGCCACTTTGTCCCGAAAGCGAAGGAATAAATTCATGGAATATATGTATGAGTTGACTTTAGTTAGAAAACCATCGAAATCCAGGAAGCTCTAAATAAATCTATCGTCTTGCTGTCGGACACCACACCCAACAAGGGTCGAACTCAGTTTATTCAGGTCTTGTGGCGAGCGCTTAACCCTCAGACTTTTAATCGGCACCCAATGATTTAAATTCCTAACTTCAGTCAACTGACTGGATCGCTTTGATTGTTTAAGCAGCTGGCATTAATAAGTTGAATTTCATTTTTTAAAATATTTATTTAGAGGTTTTAATGGTTAGCAGATCCCAGGTTTTCTCTCGAAACGCTGTCGTATCGCCCTGTAATATACACAGTACCCCCAGGGAATCCTCTCCGTAGTATTAAGATTATATATTACTGAAAACTGAGATAGTGATAAAACGTGTTAGTTATTTTGGACCATTTTGATTATTAGCTATTTAATAAATGCTAAGTTTTTGGGTAGTATTAAAAGTTTATTTCCAATGGTCTATCAGATAAGGGTAATCAAGTGATAAAAATAGGGTTGATGGAGTTATTAGTTGAGTTGAGGAGCTGGAGTTAATTCTATTAGACTGGTCGTCTCAGTTTATAAGGAAGAGTAAACTTTTTATATCCACAGAAAAATCAATCCGACTAATGTCACGTGAAATATTAGCTTTTCATAATTTGACTCCTGACTGGAGCTCGGTTATAGCGAATCTAAGAAAACCAGCTTTGTTCCTGAACTGGACCTGGATGCTTAAATTAAGTATTCATTCTTCGTTTCGAAGATGGGCACAAATGCCTGACCACTGGTGTATTTCTTCACCTGAATTTGACTCCGTTTTTGGACATGTTTTAATGACGGGGTATAACTGAATGATATACCGAAGAAGTACCTAAAGTTTGTAAGGACTATATTCGAACAATATCGGTTAGATGCGTGTATTGTTCTGCCACGTCCATGATTTTCACTTTGATTTAATTTTGTCATAGTCTCAGTTATGGTGGTTTTCGTTGACTATCATGAGTACAGAAAGTACCACACATTGATTTCTTGAAACTTTGAGACAAATACCTGTTTACAGTCGATCAATATTTAAACATCTTTAAATACCCACATTTACAGTAATGTTTTTGTCTTGAACTCAATTACAATTAGGCTGGTTATAGTTCGCTCTACAGGGTCTAAGCTTTAAAAAAATCTGTCCTTGCTACTTCTCAAAAGTTAATTATAGAATGTGGGTAAACATATGTTAATGATTGTTTATTCAACAACTTTTTCATGACGATGTTGTATTCAGATATCAGGTCATTTAGAAATATTATTGATTAACCTGTAAGTCATGCCTAGAATGGCCATTATGACCTTACAATGATTCGAAACAAATTTCAGATGAGCGAACTAAACATATCTATTGACACAATGACGTTTTATTTTTAGAATATCATCAGTGCTGCCATGCAACAAAATGTTTATTATATATCAGTAGTATATCTAGGTTTGTGACCATGTCCACTAACAGATGTGTGTGTGTATGTATGTAAGGCAGTTGTGATTGGGTAAGTCTTTCCGTCTCTGTAAGTATCAGTGAATATAAATAAAAAGAGTTGTACCTAAATACTTCCAGTTTACCTTGAAAATCATCTTAAAAACATACTTTTAGCTTATATTATTGGAGTATTTGTTTGATAGATGAGGCAAGAATGCTGCAATGAAGTGTGAGTTGATCTAGTTATAAGACTCAGAATTTATCAATATGGTATTTTTATGTATAATTTAACTCATTTACCAATTGAAAGTTCACTTACTCTGCTAATATTATTGTGAGGAATATTCTACCTGATAGTCTAAACCGAATATGATGAAGCGGGTTTGAATATGCATCCTACTGATTTATGACCTTAAAGTCACCTAAAGTCACTAAAAACTTCCAGTGTTTACCCATGACGATAACTGGTGTATATAATTTTATGAATCAACCCCCCCCCTACAACGTTACTGGTTGAAATCTGACGATTTTAATGGTGTCAGTTACCCACCAATGACAGTGGAAAATGATTGAACAATATCGTGAATTGATTGAGGTGGGAAATGTAAGCTATTGAGTGAGAACTCAATGGTCTGAAGGTTAAAAATGCTCTACGAGACATGAAGGCCCTGGGTTCGATCTCTGATGGAGTTGTAGATGGCTACTGCTGAGTCTCGTATTAAGACGAAAAAGCTGTCTAGTGATTTCTAGTTTGTAATGGCTCTCTAGCCAACATCCACCTATAATATAAACTTCATATATAGCTATCAATTATGAGATCTTTTGAGAAGAAAAATTGTCATAGGTACTGTGCTTGATGCATTGCATTTATAATACTTATTTTTTGCAATTTACAGATTCAGCTATCTTCATCATCATAATTATTCATCAGACCAACTATGAATTATAAATTCACTTGGTGTTGTTTTGCTTGTATCTTCTGACTGTTATTTAGGACTGCAATCGATCAATCTCATGTTGGCATATGTGCGTCCTGTGGGTATTGCATCCATATAGCCTTAAGTCACAAACTTTTGAAGCAAAGATGGATAGTGGTTAGCAGTGAAATTCAGGACGCGCGTCACTTCGCCCTATTTGAGACCCGTCAGCTGGATGTACCTGCATCTCAGAGTTGATGTTCACTCTAGGACTCGAACCCAGTACCGTTCACTTCAAACGTCATAGCGTTCTCCACTTAGCTACTGAGTCCTGATAGCCACCTGCTTGTGAAATGGGGTGAATTATGTTAATTTTCAATATAGCTGATAAAAATCTGTTTTTGAATATTATCTTTATCCCTACACATCACTTATATGAATAACAAAAGAAAACGATCAAGTTTTTACAATAATTCCTATTTAATTACGTACTATTTAAAATAAGTTTTATTTTCAGTTAACTATCATTAGATAGTTGTTGATAAGTTCATTCATTCATTCATTCAGCTACAACGTAGGACCAGGCACATATATGCATCGGTCCAGGTTGCCATACCGCATTAGCACAGCAAGATGAACACCGGATTCATAGGAGTGGTTAGGTCAAAGGTGGTAATATATAGGAGAAAGATTGCATATAAGGATACAGTACAGGAAGAAAGAATTAGTTAGTAGAAAGAAAGATATGAAGTTATTTTAATCTCTTAGTTTAAGGGAAGACAGAGAGTGTATACACCTACGCCATTGTGATCGATTCTGAGCCATGTCACCAAGTCTCCAACCATTGGTTACGAAAGTCACGCGGACCCCAACCAAGTAGTCTGCATCTACCAACATGGCTCAGACTAGAGGTTAGTGTCTTCAAGCACTGATGCCACGTCTTGGTTTGGCCGCCCTCATACTTCTAACAGCACTCAAGACCACTGTTGATAAGTTCAATATTTATACAATCCAGATAAAAACATTCACATATCCTGACCCCATGTGTTAACATAAAATGCAAATTTAAACAACTAGACAAATAAAAGAAACATGAAAGAAAAAGAAGTAATTTTAGTTGATGGAGAAGATTTGTAGCTCAGGTGAATGATTTT